AGATATATCGCGTTCCACGATTGGCTCCGGTATTTGGTGTAGAGCCAGGTCCTGATACTTTCCCTGGACGTTCTTGAATTCGAGGCGAATGGGCAGCTCAGGCCGGCTGGTGATGAAAATCCTCAGTCGCACGGAGCTCAGTGTCTTTGCTTGTACTAGCAGGGAGATGATGGTCTTTACGTCATTGTCTCCGTCACACTCGTCAAGAGCATCAACGACGATCAGACTTGACATAGCATGGTGAATGCGGCCAAGAGGTTGCAGGATGAGCTTCTTGAACTGGTCTGGCAGCGCCTTCCTGGCAACGCCGGGGTCGCCATTGATAGCGTCTCTGACAAAAGGCGCCAGAGTAGGGATTTTGTGCACAAGCTGACTGACAATGGTGGGGAAAAACAAGGTGGCTTTGCCACGGTCTCCTTCACCTCTTTTGAAGAAGAAGCTTGCGCCGAGGAGGCCGTCGTCTGCGAACACCTTCGCTACGGTGCGGGAGATGGTGGATTTCCCGGTCCCTGCCATGCCGTTCAGCCAGAAGATGCTCTCACCATGAGGATCTTCTGCCCAGTCTCTGATTTGACGGAAGAGCTCGATTCGGGTGTCAGGATGGCATCGTGCGTTGCTCTGCTCGGCGAAAGAGTCGAAGGCTGCCTCGTGTACGGCCGGCAGGATGTCGCTCGAACCATAGTAATTATTACCCACGTGGACCCGTGCCTGCCCTTCGGCATGGAGTGACCCGACACGATTTGCCATGGCGGCGACGACGAAGCGGTTGGATCGCTTGGAACAACGATTGCGATGCTTCTCAGAGTGCTTTCACCGTGGGATCGTCTAATACACTCATGCGTCGTGGTTGAGAGTCAAAAGTTGCGTCGGCGTAGAAGACAAGAGGAAGTCGCTCGTCAGACTCGTGATAAATATTGCTGACATGGACGTGTCCTCACCTCGGTATGTAGTGACCTGAGCTGATATGCGGTGACAGCGGATGGGTTGAAGCGATGGTCGCGCTATCTTCAAGCTGGGCGTGCGTATGCTCTCAAATTGGGCATCGATCAAGCCGACTGCAGGTGCCCCGCCGCCAGCCCAACCAGGCAACATTCAGCCGCAGAGGTGCATCGGCTTTCATCTTTCCCTCTTCCCCCCACGACAGCCACAACCAGTCAACACGCCATGGCTGAACCGTTCGGAATCGTTGGTGGCGCGTTGGGCGTTGCCGGCCTCTTTAATAACTGCGTGGACTGTTTTGAGTATGTCTAGCTAGGTCGCCGCTTTGGGCGCGACTTTGAGAGATGCCAACTCAGGCTGGACATTGCAAAGACATTGCAAAGACACGCTTGAGCCGATGGGGCGAGGCGGTCAAGATCAACGATGACCCGCGTTTCCGCTCCAGCGCGCCGACCGACAAGTCGGTCCAATTGGCGCAGTCGATCATCGAGGAAATCGTGCTCCTCTTCGAGTCCGCCCGGAAAACGTCGAAGCGATACGAGCTCGTTGCAGACCAGTAGGACCTGGTAGTGTTTGAGGACAGGGATATGAAGCTAGCTGGGCGAGCGCTGCATAGGCGGCTGAAAGACCTCGCTTGTCCGAGACAGAAAGATACGAGCCTGGTGAAGAAAACAGCATGGGCACTCTACGACGGGAAGAGCCTGGAGAATTTCGTCGACCAAATCGCCGGCTTTGTTGACGAGCTGGAGAAAGCCTTCCCGGTCGAGGCCGTTTGTCACAAGCTGGCCGGGATCGAGATCGAAGAGGTGGAGGACGAAGCAAGTTTGACAATGCTCAAGGATGCCGCGGGAGGGATCGACGAGGATCTGTCAGGTGCGGCTGCACAGAAGATCGACGCAATCGCGGGAAGGAACTTCGCCAAGGATGTCAGGATGGGGGGCCATGCAAGGATTGTGACGGGAACCAATATAATACAGGGAAA